AAATTAGAGCCTCCCAATGTGTTGGCTGTTATCATTACCTCTTTTCACTACTCAATAACTATTGGTGGTTTTTTTGTTTTTGTTTTTGTTTTTGTATGATGGGACTTTTCATTGCCTAGTTGTACAAAACCCAAAGATCTAAGGTGTTGGGCACAAACAATCATTGTCACTGAAGATCAAATTAGGACAAGGTTTCCAAGGTCACTGCCTCCTGCCAATGAAGATTAAAGACACAGACACTCCTGGGAGTGTACAAAGTGGAAGGAAGATTTATTAAGGAGAATTACAGAGAAGTGCAAAATGGAGGAGAAGTAAGAAATTAAGAAAAATTGCTAGAGGTTCCCAGAGTAGGATGGTTTTCAACACAGAATACACCACCAAACTTCCTTTTCTATGGTTCTTATAATGGGTAAGGCAGAGACTAGATAAAGGCTAAAGTAACTGGTATGAGACTGGTTAGTTCTCTGGGCTACCATGGGGTAAGCCAATGGAGGATCCACATGCTCTATATGTGTTCCCCTGGCCCAACCAGGAAGACAACCGTGCGCTGTGTATGAGCTGCCTACCCAGCTAGGGGAGGCTGATTTGGGCTGTGTTAGCTGCCATTCTTGACTGTCTGCTGGCTGAGAGCCGTGGCTGGTGTTGCCACTGTCAACCTGGTCAGTCAGTGTCTTGCTGTCAATGAGACCATGTTCCCCGTGTTCTCACACTTACCTGACCAGGTAGAAACTTTACTATGGCACAGGTAACCCTATCCCAACCACCAACACACCAATGCAGTTTGGGTTTTCACATATCTAGCTTCTTGTCTGTGAAGTGCTCTGGGGTGACCCCCCACACACAAACTAGGTGGAAATGGCTTGTTAGAAGCTATTCTTACAATATGGCCTGCTCCAATTACCGACACCAGAAGCAAGAGTAGATGAGAGGCCATCAGTAGTGTCTTATATCGGTTCTTCCTGGACTCTGGGAGGCGGAGAGGAAACAGATGGGTAGGCAGCCCGCTGACACTGGCCCAGAGCCCTCCTCTTGTCTATCTTGGTTTTCTCAGACCCAACTACAAGCCCTTTTTCTCATCTGCTTCAGTACTCCAGATTTTGTTATCTTAACCTTTAATCTCCCTTTCCCTAAAGTCCATCCTTACCATAGCATATGTGAGTTGCTTGGAATTTTAACCAAAGGTCCTTTTCCCTCATTTTACTGACTACTGAGAGCTAGCTCCTGTGTGGCTACTGTCCCCTAGATTCTGACCTACCTGCTTTTTAACATGTAACAACTCATATAATTGCCACAACCACCCATGGAAAAAGTCTAAAAGTACCAAATATTGGTGAGTATGTGGAGCAAGTGGAACCTACATGGTGGGAATGTAAAATCATTCATCTACTTTGGAAGATAATGTAGCAATTTCTTAAAAAGTTAAACATGCATCTACCATATGATCCAGTCCTTACACTTTAGTTATTCACACAATAGCAAAGGAAATGTGTGCACAAATATATTCATAGTTGTGTTGATATTGTGTTCCCCAATATATATGTGCACCTTAATAAACTTATCTGAGGTCAGAGAACAGAACAGCCGCTAGATAGAGGCCAGAAAATGGTGGCACACACACCCTTAATCCTAGCATTCTGGGGGCAGAGATCCATCTGGGTCTCTGTGAGTTCAAAGCCACACTAGAAACTGCCAGGCATGGTGACACACGCCTTTAATCCCAGGAAATGATGGCAGGAAACAAAAAGGTATATAAGGCCTGAAAACCAGGAACTAGAGCCTGGTTAAGCTTTTAGGCTTTTAGCAGCAATTCAGCTGAGATTCATTTTGGATGAGGACTCAGAGGCTTCCAGTCTGAGAAAACAGGATCAGCTGAGGAATTGGCGAGGCGAGGTAGCTGTGGCTGGTTCTGTTTCTCTGATCTTCCAGCATTCACCCCAATACCTGGCTCCAGGTTTGATTTTATTAATAAGACCTTCTAACAATTTGTGCTACACATAGTAGCTCTCTTGAAAACAGGTTAAAACTAGACATGCTCTAATTGTCCACTAACTGGTGACTAGGAAAGAAACTGCAGTTCATCCACGCAATGAAATACATTTAGCAACACAAAAGGAACTACTGTGCAGACCATAGATGAGTATCCAAACGATTACACTGCAAGAGAGAGAGCAAACAGAAAAAAAGAGTACCTACTGTGAGTGTACTTACGGACCACTTAAGAAGATGGAGATGGATGCACACTAACAAAAATAGAACTTATTTTTGTTGCTTAGGTGTGGGGCAGGAAGGAAGAAACTATAAAGGGGCACCAGGATACCTGAGGGTGATGCACATGTTCATTTGTGGCTTCACACACATGTCAAAACATGCCAAAGTATGCACTTTAAATATGTTCCATATGTCAATCACACCTCAATAATGCTGTTTTTAAAAAATCCTATATTTGGTCATCAGATTCAGGAGTGGAAAGAGAGACAGAAATCTGTTTAAAGTCTTCAAAGGCATTTTGGGGGATGATGTTAAGTATGCAAGGAATCCATACCTGCCTCCCCCCAGCTGGCCTTCCCACACTTTAATGATACATCTTGCTGCTCTTCTCCACACACCATCTCTGTCGGTTTTTAAGAAAAGAATGAACTCCTCTTTATATCTTGAAGAGATTGTGAATTAAATATATGGCCAACATTTACAAACATTTTAAAGGGGTGTTCTTCTAGCGAGATAATATCACATGAACTTTTTCGACACAATAATTTGTCTTACCTCTCATGGTATCAGTAATTCTCATCTGTAAGATGCAATAAGAAACTACAAAAGCCAGAAATTAAGAACTGACTTTGTAAGGATTACTAGTTATTATTCTTTGAACAGAGCTCTCTTTTTCTCCCTCTGCTTAGAGAAACATTTGTTTCTTCTCTCCCTCATCTGCGCTCAAGCTTTTTTCCTAGTCTGCATGCCTCCATCTAGAGTGATTTATGAGGAAGGTCCTCGCTTAGCCTTGCATAAGCATTATATCGTTATGCTCAGTCTGTGAAAACTCCCATGTAATGGACTGGCATTCAGCTCTTCAAATCTGCCATCCTGTATTCTGGAGTCTGGACCCCTTTACAGTCTTTATTCAAAGACTGAATTGCATACTCTCGACATCATCTCCAGTTCTACTTGAGAGTGGAGGTAGTTTTTCTGAAGGATACTTTCCAGGCACAGGGCCACACAGGGCTTTAACTCTTGGAGGATTGAAAGGATACTAACGAAAATTCATAGTTGGTAAATCCACAAACTCTAGAATTAAACATCTCTGATTTGAGCTTCGTCTCTGTCACTTCTTGTGTGGAAACTTATCTCTAATTTTTGAGCACTAAAATGGGACTTAAGCTAATTTGGGGGGGGGGGGTTGTTTGTTTGTTTGTTTTTCGAGACAGGGTTTCTCTGTGCAGCATTGTGTCTTTCCTGGAACTCACTCTGTAGCCCAGGCTGGCCTGGAACTCATAGAGATCCACCTGCCTCAGCCTCCCGAGTGCTGGGATTAACGGCGTGCGCCACCAACGTCCAGCCTTAAACTATTTTTTTTAAATAGTATCCTCTTCCGTTGTAAAATACAGCATTGTGTCTAGGTGGTGGCGCTGCATGCCTTTAAACCCACACTCGGGAGGCAGAGACAGGTGGATCTCTTAAGTTCCAAGTCAGTCTGGTCTACAGAGTGAGTTCTAGGACAGCCAGAACTACACAAAGAAACCCTGTGGGGGGCGGTGGGGGTGGAGGGTGGAGAGTGGTTCAAGGGGCTCACAGAGTCTGCACCAACAGCCAGGGAGCCTTCATGGAACCCCCTATGCCCTCTACATATGTGTGACGGTTGTGTAGCTTGGTCTATTTGTGAGACGCCTAGCAGCGGGAGCAGGGGCTGTCCCTAACACTTCGGCAGGCTTTGGGGAAACCTATTCCTCACCCTGGGTTGCTTTGTCCAGGCTTAATATAAGGGGAGGAGCTCAATCCTACCTCAACTTGATATGCCATGCTTTGTTGATACCCATAAGAGGCCTACCCCTTTCTGAACAGAAACAGAGAAGTGGATGGGAGGAGGGGGGAAGCGGGATGGGAGGAGAGGAGGGAGGGGAAACTGCGGTCGGGATGTAAATTAATGAATAAATATAATTAATTTTTTAAAAAAAGAAACCCTGTCTCCAAAACAAAACAGAAACAGCATTGTGGCTAATCTTAAACAGTATTTAAGATACCAATTCAACTGTTTTTCATATATATATTTAAATCAATATCTCACATAGTCATAATGTATTGAGGGGAAAAAAAAAAAAAAGAGGCTCGCTTTGTGAGTTAGGGATTCCAAAGACCTAAAACCAAAACTAGCCCAAAAATGGTACTGGAGTCAAAAGGCCAAGCAAGCCGCTCCAGCCCAGACATCAGCAGCTCCTCCGGGGGGAAAAGCCCAGCCCATCTCCCGCTGCCCCACCCACCCTGTCACTCTGGGCCCCGCCCCTCCCCGCGAGGACCCGCCCTCCTACACCTGACCCCGGCTCCGATTGGGCAAGTCTGAAGGCTGTACACACCCACACCCACCCCCACACCCCCGACCCGCGCACGCTGGGCGGGGCCTTCGCGCCTGCGCAGCCGGGCGGCCGGCGGCTGGGGTGGCCTGGCCGGGCCGGGCCGTGGTGCGTGGGGTTGGGGGGGGGAGGGGGCGGCCGCGCGGAATCCTGCTCCGTAACAAGCGACGCGCCGCGCCCCGCGGTCCCGGCTGCGTGGGCCGCTCGGGTGGGGCTGGGCGCTGCGGCTGCGGTGGCTGCGGCCGCGGCGGGCGCGATGGAGGCCGTGCCGGAGCCCCGCACGCTCGCCGGGGGCGGCCGAGGCAGCCGGAGGGGCTGGTAGATGCGGCGGCCGCGGCGGCGGCGGCCCGGGCTCTCCATGAGCGAGCGGCGGCGGCGACGGGTGCGGCGGCACCGGCGGTCTTCGGTCCCGCGGGAGGTAGGCGCGGAGGGCGAGCCGCTCGCGGGCCCCCCCCCCGGAGGCCTGGCGGCGGCGGGAGGGTGGGCGTGGCCGCGCGGGCGTGGACTCCCCACCCTCCACCCCAACCCCTGGGAGGATGTCGAGTCCCGCGACCCTCGGTTGTGCGGTGTTCGGTTCCCGCGACAGGTGGTCGAGTCCTCCGGGGAACACCCTGTGACCCCTGGGCATGACAGCGCGGGTGGAGAAATTGAGGTTGGGGAGTTTCCAACCGAAGGAGCTGGGATGGAGGCAGGTAAGAGCCAGCGAGTACATCCTCCAGGGACGGCGTTCTGGAAACTCTGGGCTATTTCAGTAAAGCTCTTTGCAACCATTGCTCCCCCCACCCCACCTCCTTTTTTTTTTTTTTTTTTTTTCAAGTTTTACTGCAATTTACATTTGCACAACTGACCGATGTTTTGCTGGGATTTTAAGTGTACTCGAGATCTTCCAGGGTTGCCTTTAAAGTTAGGTTCGTGCTCTATGTATCCGTGCGGTCTAAGAGTTGCAGATTATAATCATTGCTTTTCATAGCTGTGGTTATTCTTCATTTGATCACATCCAAGAGGTAATTTGAACAGAAACACTAGGAATTAGTCTTCCTTTCCAGTATAATATTTAGGAATCCGAACTCAAGCTCCTAAACCTTGTTCCAAAATTCTTTAAAATTCAAGAGATAAAATGAAATCATGAAAAGTTTTTCTCATTTTAAAAATGCTTGAATGTCTTAGGATTTAAAAAAAAAAAAACCTCTAAATGAAACTAACTGGTCAATTTTTATTAAGAAATGTGTTTGTCTCCTTGGCTTCAGATTGCCACACTCGGCTGATTCAGTAATTGATGAGAGCCAGCGCGTGTTAACAGACTAAATATAAACACCCGTATTTCAAACTAAATATAGAACCAAGTAATTTAGAATGCAATATCTTGTCTCAAGTGGAAAACAGTGTACATGTTTAATGTACAACAGAATTTGCTAGCACCACAGAATGGTTTTGAACTTAATTTGGAACATAAAACTCAGGTTTATGGTTGTGTTTGTGTTGTTTAAGAGGATGTGATATTTGATAAGAAAAGGTGGTCAAAATAAGACGCACACCTTTAATCTCAGCACTCTGGAGACACAGGCTGGTGGATCTCTGAGTTCGAGGCCAGCCTGGTCTACAGAGTGAGTTCCAGGACAGCCAGAGCTACAGAGAGACCGAGTTCAGCCATTTCTTTCCCTGTTTCTATTGCTCAGATACATCCCCTTTTCTTAAAACTAAACTTTTCTGTAAAAGTAACATATTAGAAAGCAGTATTGTAATTTATAGTTATTTTTCCAAGTAAAATGAAGCAACTTTTACGAAACAATTTCAGCAAGAACTGTTTGGGTTTTTTTTAATTGCTTTATGTAACATACATAGAACACAACACCTTTATTGAGGTAGTGTCTGTGACTTTAACAGTGTCTGGCTGTCCTCAAGGAAAGGAGAAGGAAAGGTGTGTCCATTTAAAGGGGAAGGACACTCCAGTTTATTCCCAGAACGTGCAGAGGGGAGAATCAGGGTATTAAGTCCTGAGAGTCGCATCACATGGCCTCTGTAGTTAAAATGAAGACTGGCACAATTCTAGGATGCACATAAATATCCATCCCGAAGTGAATAGAAATAATAGCTGTGCTACTGTTTGAAGGGCTGTGCTCACTTCTCTTTTGTATTCCAAAGTCAAATGCCAGATTAGCCTTCATGGAGAGCAACAGGTCATTAGGTGGTTGTTTTATAGCCTAGTACCCTCTGCAGTATAATTAATATAAAGACCAAGAGATGGCTCTTTTGTGCTTGAAAATATCCGGGGGTGTCATTTCAGTGGATTATTAAGTGGAACTGCCTGCATTAACAAGGAACTGAAGTACAACTTGTACCTGGGAAGGTAGAAAGCGGCTTACATTAAGAATAAAACCAATTAAATTTAATATGCATCTTTAGTTTTTATTAGCATGTTAATTTAACAAATCTCTATGACATTTTTGTAAGTTTAAATCTTTTAATAGTTTTATTTTCATTTAGAATTTATTACAAGGTTTTCTTATATCACAGATGGAGACTAATATAATTAATACACAGGCCCATCAGATGGTCATTCTACACCTTAAAAAGAGGGATTTGGCTTGGGTTTTTTTTTTTTTTTTTGAAGATTGATCTAATTTTATGTGTTAAAGTGTTTTACGTGTGTGTGTGTGTGTGTGTGTGTGTGTGTGTGTGTGTGTGTGTGTGTGTACACAGTATTCACAGAGGCCAGAAGAGGGCACTGGACTGCCTGGAACTGCAGTACAGGCAGTTGTAAGCCTCCGTATAGGTGCTGAGAACCAAACCTATGCCATCTGCAAGAGCAGCAAGTGCTCTTAACCACTAAGCCATCTCTCCAGCCCCCATATCTATTAAAAACTAATAAAAAGCCTAGGTATCAAAGCTCTTCCTTTTTTTGTTTCTGTTTTTGTTTTTTTGAGACAGGGTTTCTTTGTGTAGCTTTGGCGCCTTTCCTGAAACTCACTCTGTAGACCAGGCTGGCCTGGAACTCACAGAGATCCGCCTGCCTCTGCCTCCCAAGTGCTGGGATTAAAGATGTGAGCCACCACCACCCAGCTTCAAAGCTCTTTTCTTAAAAAAAATTTAAAAGAGATATTTGTTATTTGTATGTGTGCATGCACACTCAAGAAAGGCCACGCATAGCACAGCATGTGTGTGGAGATCAGAGGGCAACTTTGTGAAGTTAATTCTCTCCTTCCACCCTTCTGTGGATTCCTGGGATTAAACTCAGTTTTTCAGGTTTGAATGGTACCATCTTGCTGTCCTAGGTTTTGACTTCTTCAACGATCTTTACAGAGACCAAGACCATGCATATTGCCTGAGCCATGCAAATCATTAAATTAGCTGGGTAGTGGTGGTGCACACTTTTAATCCCAGCACTTGGGAGGCAGAGCGTTCGAGGCCAGCCTGGTCTACAAAGAGAGATCAAAGTTCCTGGAATTAAGGGGCTAGAGAGATGGCTCAGTGGTTAAGAGCACCGGCTGCTTTTACAGAGGATCTGGATTCAATTCCCAGCACACACATGGTGGCTCATAACTGTCTGAAAGTCCAGTTCCAAGAGATCTGGCACCCTCACACAGACATGCATGCAGGCAAAACATCAATGCACATGAAATAAAAATAAATTTTTTAAAAAATCATTAAATTATTGTTGTTATTTTCATATTGGGAGGCCACCTAACAATCTAATTTGACTCTGTAAGTAGATTTATTTTCATTTAAATATATCTCCTTCCACATACATGTTTTATTTTGCACTTGTGAAATGCAGGATGAAGACACTGTTTGAAGAGATCAAAGCATCAATTAAAAATAACTATAACCAAGATCGATCATTTTGGAGGCCTGTTCTTCCTTGGGGAGGAGTTTTTACTATCAAAGCTGGCCGCAAAGCAGTATCCTGTACACCCCTCTATGTTGAAATCAGACTGAAAAATACCTGCACCATAGATGGATTCTTGATGTTACTGTATGTCATTCTTAATGAAAATGAAAATTTCCCCAGGGAACTCTCTCTCCACTTTGGCAGGGAGTTTGTAGACTGTTTTCTTTATTTAATGGACACCTACAGTTTTACAACTGTGAAGCTGCTTTGGATTTGGGACAAGATGGAAAAACAGCAATACAAATCTGAAGTTCATAAAGCTTCATTAGTAATCGATTTGTTTGGGAACGAGCATGACAATTTTACAAAAAATCTTGAAAATCTCATGTCTACCATTCAAGAGAGTTACTGTTCTAACTGGCGCTGCCCGACCCGCGTGCAGGAAGATCAGCAGCGCACAATTAGTATAAAGTAAGTCGCTCTCAACTCTGTCCTGTCACGTTATTTGTTAATGAGCTTTGCTTAATTACATGTGTCTATCTGCAAAACCACCCGAAAGCTTCTTAGTAGCAAAGAAAGAAATTATCCAATATGCAAAGGGAATCGTTCCTGGTCCAAGTTTACTAAGTTCTCTGTGCCAAAGATTGAACCTCTTAAATGTTAAATTTTTAATGTTTTGGGGTTTCATGTTTTGAATGGTCCTCTGTCAGGAAGACGAGTTCTACAGAAACAAAGAACTAAAAATGCCCTTTCGTGGAAAGGCCAAGAATATTTGTAGACAGAAACTCCAAATTCGGCTTCTCATCTCTGGAGAGGATGTGACTGAGGAGACAGTGCTGGGGGCAGCTGAGTGGTGTTCGGCTTTCAGAGAGAATACAGACCTCTAAGATGCTGGGGAAGGCCGAGCTGGGAAGACCTGGTGGAGTGATGGCAGACATTGAAGTCTCAGGGGACCGGTAGGGAAAAGGACTGATGCCACAAGCGAATCCAGACATTTCCAGGGGTGAATTGGGCCATAGTCAGGAAAAATAGCTTAATAGATTGGAAATTTACATTGTATATATTCACATGTCATCTATTTTCCTGTATTGCTGGTAAGATGGGGTTGATTTGAAAGCCACCAGGGGAAGTTTTTTTCTGTCATAATGAACTGAAGTGCTTTATAAATTCAGTTTATTTAAATTAGCATCTGTCAATCTTGTCAATCAATAATATATACAATTATATAACTGTAATTCTGTGTTAATACTGTTTTGTATTTCTCTCACTTAAAATGCCTTTCATTATACTGTAGAACTTTTTTAAGCTTATATTTTATAATCTTGTATTTAAAGCAGACTCTGAAGTTTGCAGAGCAAGCATTTCTAACAGATGAGGCAACGAAAACAAGTCACAATTGTTAGTGGGTTTACTCTGCTAATCAGCTGCTGTCTGCATTCTGCATCCAACTTTCTACTCATCAGAACTCAACTGTTAAGGCACATTTTTTTAAAGTGAAAGTAGCAACAACTGTATGCATCAGGATCAGTTTACAGGAAACTTTATCCATGCAATATTTATAGAGTTCAGCTGCTTCTATAGTATCTGCCTAAAACACAAGGCTGATCATGTATGCTCTTGTATGACTGTAATACCAACATGCAGGGAGTTGAGTCAAACGGATCACTGAAGCTAGCCTTGGCTACTTTCAGGCCAGCCTGGGCTAAAGGTGTGAGATCCTGTCTTAAAACAGCCAAAAACCCAAAGATATCAGAGGTTGTGTGTTTCATATTATTTGTTATGCTCATAATGCTTTAGCCTCTAAAATTTATCATTCTAATAATGTCCTAAACTGTTAAATCCCTTCTTACTCGGATTTTGCTATTATTGTAGTCCTCCCCAAGAAATTCCACATGGAAACTTGATACGACTGGCTGTGGATGAGTTATTCTGTTCCAAGATTGAACTTTGTGAAGAGCGTGGGTGAGTACATGATAGACATTTGAAAATATTTCTGTTGCATTATAAAGAAATGTAGACTAGTAAGCTCTCTGAAGTTAATAAACTTCTAAAACAACAATGCATAAATATTTATGTAGCCTAACAGTTTTTCAGTGTTCCTAGTCTAGTTTAGTATGTCATCATATGTTATGTTTTGTTACCAGATATAAATATACAATTTGGTACTATTGCTCATTGACAATACAAAGCAAACACCTTTTTTCTCTTTCCTCATTGCTGAGTAGGTACAATAAAACCTTGGTTAACCGGAACCCGGCTAATCAGGACCCTCAATTAAATGGACTTTTTTCTGCATTCCTCATTTAGGAAAAAGGTAAATGAAAACCAAAAAATTTAATACAGTTTAAAAAAGTCAAAAGGGCATAAATATTTATCCCAATCATTTAGCAATTTCTATGTCTACATTATTTTGTGCATTAGAAGTTAATATTTAGAAGAATGGTCTTATAAAACAAAAAAATAATGAAAGATAAAAGATGCATACATTATTTTTAAGACCAAAAAAAAAGGAACCTACATACTTTAGCAACAAGTACTGAAGCAAATGATTTTCTGGTTAACTTAATGTAGTTAATAATGTTTGTCAACCAGAAGACTGTGCCCTGAGCATTCCGGTTAATCGAGATTTTACTGTAAAGTTGTATTTTGATTTGTATGCTTAATACTTACTAATACTAAAAAGAAGAGAATTTGCTTCATGTTAATAGAAGATCCTAAACCTAAAAAGGAGGCATTTTCTCCCTCAGTCATTGAAACCACCTTGAAGAAAAAACTGTATGTATAAGTAAAAGCTATTACAATGGTTCAACAGGTTCATGCTTTTATAACTCTTAATATAAACAGTCAACTTTTCTAGGAGTTCTTAAAGCATCACTTCTAGTATAGAGAATAGACCCTATATAGACCTCCGGGACTAGGAAAATAAGGTAATAAAACAGTCATACTCTTACCCATTATAATAGAGTAACTGTGCTTACTAGAAAATTAAATACAGTTCAGAAGTATTGAAAAGCCATTTGTTCCATGTATGATAATGTTCATGCCCAGTTTTCATTTTAGGTGTGGTGGCTTAAGAGAATTTTCCCAACGAGTTTTCTGCCATGGGGCACCCCCTTTTGTTGTGTTGAATATGCAGCATTGGAAACCTGAAGATCTGGCATATGTACCCTATTACCTGGATTTATCTGATCACAAGTAGGTAGTTTTTGTTGTTTGTTTGTTTTATGAGACTAGAAAAAAAAACTAGTCCACCATGATTTTGACTAGCCGTTAAGAAGATATTGTTAACTGAACATGGTGGTGCATGCCTTTAACCCCAGTAGTCTGAACTCAGACAGGAGGAGCCTGGTGAGTTTGAGGCTAACCTGTTGTAAGCAGGAAGTTCTGGACCAGTCAGAGCTACACAGTGAGACCCTGGTTCAGGGTAAAAAAAAGATGATATGTTAAAATAAATCAAGGCTTTCTAGATTTCTGGATTCTGACTGTGATCAGAGTCCACTATGAGGAAGGCAGTTACTAGCAACATGCATAATGAGCATGTAGATTGTAGAGCATAATGAGATTGTAGAACAGGACTGCTCTCAAACCTAGTCCTGCCTTTTACAGGATCTGTAACATTTGTCAGTTGCCTTACTGATAAAGCAGAAATGGTAGTATATATCTGTAAAAGTAAATAAATTTTTTAAAAAATAACTTAAGAACTGTTTATCATAAAAAATGAAATCTGATCTTTTTATGTATTTTATATATAAAATTTATATATATATATATGTATGTATTTATAATTTGCAGGTATTTACTGGAAGGTGCCACTTTATTTAACAAAGAGGAACATCATTATTCTGCAGCTTTCCAGATAGATGGACATTGGATGCACTATGATGGCCTCAGAAATGTGAATTTAATTTTGTTAAATAAACCCCCAGAGTTTCTCCTCTTGTCATCATTGGTTTATATTCGAGCAGCAGAGAAATAAATATAGACTGATGCTAAATTCAGTTGTTCTCCCGCTTGCCCGTGCCCCCTAGAGGAAGGGCTCTTGTTCTGTATATACTTGGTATCCAAGGAAACGGTTCAACTATACTAGTTTCAGAGATGTATTTGTCAGTGTTTTGCCCCAGGTAAATGTTTTATATGGAAGATCTATGCAAAAATGTATTTTTAAGTATTTTCTGGGTTATTTTTATACAAGCATATGTTATGTTCAAATAAAATATATCTTATGGCCTTTGTAATTTTTATTTATATATACCTCAACAGTTTTTACATTTCTATCCTTAAATCCAAGAAAATACTTTGTCATTTTAATTCTAAAATTTTCTTTTTAGATATATGAGTAAATCCTAGGGTAAAAGTCAGTATTTTGGTTATCTGACTGTATTTCTTTGCCTTACCTCCAAAGTGCACTATTGGATGTAGTAGGATTTGAATGTACGGCTTATGGATAGCTTATTTTACCCATTGCTTACTTTGTTTTACCCTTTGCTCATTTCTTTGTGGTAATTTAAAAAATATATTGGAAATTTTTTTGTAGAGTAAGCCATTTCGTTGTAGTAGTTACTGTAACTATTTGCTGAAATGTACACCCTCCAGTGCATTTCCAGCCTCTGATTTCAGTTAATGTAAACATTACAAACACATTATATAACAATCCTAAATATCTTACCATTAAATGGAATGAAAATTCTCTTAAGTTATTTTGCAGACAAGGCAACTGTCAAAAATACTAGGCAGCTGGATATTTATTAGTGTTGGACTAACAATAGAAATGTGTTTATATATTTAAGAGGAAAATGGGGTACCTCGTAATATTTATTCTAATTCAGATTTTTTTTTTTTTTTTGAGCTGAGGATCAAACCCAGGGCCTTGAGCTTGCTAGGCAAGTACTCTACCACTGAGCTAAATCCCCAACCCCTCTAATTCAGATTTTTTAAAAATTGTAACATGTGAGGCCGGGCGGTGGTGGCGCACGCCTTTAATCCCAGCACTCGGGAGGCAGAGCCAGGTGGATCTCTGTGAGTTCGAGGCCAGCCTGGGCTACCAAGTGAGTTCCAGGAAAGGTGCAAAGCTACACAGAGAAACCCTGTCTCGAAAAACCAAAAAAAAAAAAAAAAATTTGTAACATGTGGCTCCCTTGAAACTGCTCATTGACATCAGGAGGCTTGGGTCTGTAATGCCACGGATGTGAAGTCAACATTTGACGGTTAACAGAATACGTGTTTTGTTATAAATAACCTAAAGTCACTCATCTTTTTGCAATTTAAAAGGAGAATATTTTCAAGGGAGACTACTTGATGAACGATCATTAATTTTAGTGTTTACATTACAATAAAATAACATCATTTTGTATTTGGGTTTGAGATTGAGTGCAGTCTATCTGAAGACTTTACACGACCACAGAGTTCACTGCCAAATACCAAACTGCTAAGGTTTCATTATAAATCTTACATTGCTATGGTGTGTGTTGAGAAAATTTGCTGTAAGGATGGGTAAATGTGGGTGAAATCTTGCTAACCCTGTCTCACTTTGAGTAAATATTATGAAAATTATTTTTAATACAAGAATAAGAATGGCATTTAAAAAAAAATCACCCAGGGTTTATTTAAATAGTTCCCCAAGTATGGTAATGGGACTTGATTGACAGCAAGCTTTTCTACTAACAATATATTGCATGAATCAAACTATACAGCCTACAGATACTAACAGCTACATACATAAATGGTACGGTTACATTATTAATGACTTAAGTTGTTCTTAATGCAGATTCTTCAGGGAATTGCACTTTATTGGGATATTAGTTTATTGTTCAATAACTTACCTACCTCACAGGGTTGTTGTGAGGGTTAAGATGTTAAAATTTTTATTACCTTCAACATGCTAATAAAAACATATTTCTACCTCTTTTGTGTATAGGCAGTCTCCCAGATTCTCTTATGAATGTTTTTTAGAATTTTTAAAAATTATCTAGGTATTATTATATCATAAAAGAAAATTAGTAGTAGCTTATATCACCAATGTGTGGTGAGATTTAAATATGGCTTCTGGGACCTGAGTGGTTGGGTTGAAAGAAAGTTACCCACAGTTGGCAAACAATGGATAAAGTCAAGTGAAATCAGCCAGAGTGTCTATAGAATGTGGTGGTAGCAAAGGAGGATTTTCTTTTGAAATCAAACACCCTTTGTGAAATCAATCTGAGGAAAGGGGGGGTCAGGAAAAAAAGGGCAGTATTTCTTTAATCGAAATGCCACAAACTACCACTTAAAATGGAAGAAGTAATTTTATTGGTTTGACTACACTTGGGAGTGGGTTAGGGTGAGTGGTATCACCTTCCAACTTGTGCCAATCTTAGATTTACTTTTTTTGTTGTTGGGGGGTGCAGTTTCAAGACAGGGTTTCTCTTTGTGGCTTTGGAGCCTGTCCTGGATCTCGCTCTGTAGACCAGGCTGGCCTCGAACTCACAGAGATCCGCCTGCCTCTGCCTCCCGAGTGCTGGGATCAAAGGCGTGCGCCACCACCACCCAGCCTAGATTTACTTCTTAAAAATGATTTTTATGCATGTGTGTTTCTATGTAGTGTGTGTACATATGTGTGTGTTAGCTTGTGTGTGGTAAGAAAATTGTGTGTGTGCACTCATAATTTGTGTGCAGCACAGAAAAGGTGTGTACGCATGTGTGTGTTTGTACATGTGTGTTTGTATATGTGCACATGTTAGCTTGTGTGCAGTACAGAAAAGGTAGAAACTTGCTTGTACACCTAGCTGCAGCTTTATTATTTGACTTGGAATTTTTGTCTCATTTTAAATAATGTATAAAGCAGTGAATATAAAGTATATAAAGAGGAAAAAGATAATTTCCCTGCTTAGTGATAATTATTTTATGTGGTAAAAGCCTTTCTAAAAGACTACGTGGTGAGCTGTATAGAACTGAAGAGAACACATCAAGGGAGCTAGGGCCTTGTAGGAATCTGCTAGAAGCTGGCACAATGCTCTCAGTTATCCAGGCTGAGAGAACTCTAAGAGGATAGTGAACACTAGAATGTAACGGAAGCTAGGCATGCAGGTCAGTGGCAGATCATAGTCTTGGCATGTAAATGGCCCCCGGTGGCTCTCAACCACAACTGCCTATGAGAATGTCAGATGACTGTGAGCTGTGTTCATTTAAAACATTATTACTGAGGTGTGTGTGTTCTTGTGTGTGCAAGCTTCATCTCCTACTAAAGCTGGAGTTATAATTGGTTATGACCCACTGGATGTGGGTGCTGGGAACCAAATTTAGGCCCTCTGCAAGAACAGTAAGCACTCTTAACCACTGAGCCATCCCTCTGGCCCCTCCCTGCATTCTTGGTGAGAGCAACTCACAGTTGAAGGTGGAGCTCACTTAATGTAGCCTGAATTACTTAAATTATACATGAAATAAAACATTTTTATTTGAAGGGGAGCACATATTAAAATATTGATACTGAGATGTCTTGGTTAAGTGACTGCTTCCTAAAACCCTGCTTTTTAAATTAAAAGGCATGCACAGAGAACTTTCACATGACTCAAAAACCACTGTAAAATCTGTCAGCCTCATCATGTGCAAGTCATGAAGGAAGATGTAAAAGTGCTACGGGATAATCCTTCTGTACATTGCGACAATGTGTTTCTCTCATTGTTAATAAAAAGCTGATTGCCCAATAGCTGGGCAGGAGGAGATTGAGCAGGAGAGCCAGACTAGGAGGGCGCTAGGAAGAAGAAGGGCAGAGTCTGAAGAGTCGCCAGCAGATGCAAAGGAAGCAGAAGATGAGCATGGTGTACTGAGAAAAGGTACCACCGTGTGGCAGAGGGCATAAGAAATACGGTGTAATTTAGTTATCAGAGCTAGTTAGTAACAAGCCTGAGCTATCGGCTGAGCATTTATAATTAATATTGAGTCTCCGTGTTGGTTATTTGGGAACTGGCAGGCAGGAAAGAAAAGTTTGCCTATGTAAAAGAGCAATATAAACCATATCCTGCAATCCTTTGTGAAAATGAAAAGAGGTAGCTCAGATTCACTGCTCCACTTGCTCACTCAGAAGAAGAGAGAAGTATGTGCTGCTCTAGCCAAATGTCATTGTATTTCTTGGGTTCTTTTGTAAAACTGGTAGATGGGTCTCTCATCTGGGGGCAGTTATGAGTCAGGGTGATGCTTGTGTAAAAGATAATATGATAGATGTATTACAGGAGTCTAAAATAATGAGATGCCAAGAAAATTTTCTGGGGCCAAACTGAAATGAAAGGCCAGGAACAAAACCATGTACTGTGGATGAGATGTCTACATCAGTCCAAGTGAGCTTTGATACCCAGGCTTTTTATTAGTTTTTAATAGAGATGAATCTTCCGTGTTCCTATCACCCAGCTTCAACTATTAACCACATTTTGTTAATGTTGAGTCCAAAGGAACCTCCAATTCCCCAGAGTTCAAAAAGCAGTGCCCATGTCCTGAAATGACAGTCTTGGCTTTATTCAAGCTGGACTATAGAAGGATTTCTGGCAGTTAGATAAAAGCTAGCTTCCTCTGCCCCACCCCCCAGCTACTCATTGTGTTATAACCCATTATTCTCTGCTATTCCCTCTCTTGATATGCTTGGTATTTTTTTTTTTTTTTTTTTTTTTTTTGGATTTTCGAGACAGGGTTTCTCTGTGTAGCTTTGCGCCTTTTCCTGGAACTCACTTGGTAGCCCAGGCTGGCCTCGAACTCACAGAGATCCGCCTGGCTCTGCCTCCCGAGTGCTGGGATTAAAGGCGTGCGCCACCACTGCCCGGCGCATGCTTGGTATTTTATCTCTTGCTATTCCTGCTATTCTTTCTTCTCTGCTTCCCTAGCCTGGCTATGTCCAGTCTGGTTTTTTTTTTTTTTTTTTTTGCTTTGTTTTTGTTTTTGTTTGTTTGTTTGTTTTGTTTTCATTTTTCTCTGCTCTTATAGTCGAACTTTTATTCGGGCTGCCAGCTCACAAATAACAACATGGAGGATTATTATTAGTAATGAAAACTTGTATTAGTTTAGGCTTATCCCACTAGCTCTTTTAAATTAGCCTGCTTTTATTAATTTACATTCTTCCTTGTGGCTTGGTTAACTCCACTCTGTACCATATGTCCGACCTCTTCAGTGCCTTTTTGGCATCTCTGTACTGTGATCCTGCTTCCTCTGCATCTGGCTGTCAACTCCACCTTTCTTCTTCCCAGAGTCCTCTCTGTCCCTGGAAATCCCGCCCAACCTCTTCCCATCTAGCTATTGACCATTCAGCTCTTTAGTAAACCAATCAGAGGTGCCTTGGCAAAGACACATCTTCACAGGTGAACAAATACTCTGCCACAGCTCTGGACTCTTCAAGATGCCTCTAAATATTTTCTCTCTATTATTTATAGTAAAAACCTTCTCCCAATTGAGCAGTTATTTTGGCAGTTTCTTTACTGCACTCCCTCTAATACAACTAATCCTCCATTTATTCACCACACCTTTACAAAAAAAAAAATCCCAGAGAGCATGCGTTGTGATAGATAAGCAAATGAGACCCTTTCTAGTTAATAAAGATATTTAAACATTTTATTGTATTGCTCAGACGAAACAATCACACTTTTAAAAATTAGTGCTTTTTGCAACATTTTATGTTCAATTGACATTAATTCTTCACTAATTTTCTGGAAAAGGGTTACCACTAGCTGTTTTGAGTCAGGATCTAAGCAAGGTCAATAGTTGCATGTTAAGTCTCTTATTTCTTTCTGGACTAAGGAGTCCTCCTTCCCTTCTTTCTCGGAAATTATCTTTGTTGAATAAACAAGTGATTGTGCAGTAGATTGCCGCAGTTCTTGGATTAGACTCAGTGTTGCTTTTTTTGTATTATTTAACATGTCTTGCTCAAATTTTCTATAAATTGAAATTTGGGTATAGAGTTTTGGTTCTATTTAATTTTTTAAATTTTGCCCATTCATTCATTTTAGGAAGTCTATTTAGAAAGACAAGGCATCAGCTCATGAATACATATGCCTGGCAATCCCACTTCTAGTGATGCCAAGCTTAACTGTGAAATTTGTCAGGCTCTCTTTCAGATCTTTAGCTTTTGCTTTAGTGTAGCTTTAGCAGCTCTTGGTGGTTGCTGCTGGAGTTGTGGATGATTTACCAATCCTGTCGTTCCTTCAGTATTTACTTTCTGGGATTCTACAAAGGAAGTATTTCAAAGTATTGCAAAGCAATTATTTGATTACCCTGATACATTATGTAAAAGAAAGACAGTGGAAAAGGATACTCTTTGCTTATTCCTTTTCACCTTAATGGATACACTAAACTTTTTTATGTAACAATTTCTTTATTGATTCTTTGGGAATTTCATATCATGTACTCCAGTTTTACTCATTGCCTAGTACCCCCATATCTGCCCTTGCAGCATCCCCTCCAAAATAAAATTTAAAAAAAAATTAAAACCAAACCACACAACAAACAAAAAACCTCTTTGTTCCTCTGTCTTTCCCTCCCTTCCCAACACCTCTTCATTCATCTTAGTGGCATTGGGAGCCACAGTGTGTCATATAGTAGACCCTTCTGTCCAATCAGATTTACTTGAAAGTGTTCATTGCAATGAGTCACTGGGTCTGGTTCAAGGCCTCTGGTTTCTGGTACACCATCATCACTGGACCCTCACCAAAACTCCTCTTTGATATCTCCATGGAGATCCTGTGGGTATTATTTCGCCAGACCAGTCCCTTCATGCACTCCAGCAGGTCATAGATGTGGCAGATGTTGGGATGGGCCGACCCAAGGCCCAGCTGTAGGACTGGGTGGTAGTCGAGCTAGTTAGTCCTGGCCCCTGGGGCTGCCACCTTCAGGTGAGGGGTGGAGCCAGCTCTCCTATGCCCATGCCAAGAGGGCCATGGTGAAGGGTGGGGCCATCTCTCC